CGAATGTCTTGTGAGATAGATTCGGAGGACTAAATCTGGAGGTGAGGATGGAGGGGAGAGTCTGGAGGGAGCGATTAAGAGGATTTAAGTGATTATGTTATCACTTTTTTTTAAGAGCAAATTAAGAGCTTTTCAGCTCTTATTTATATAAAAAAACAAACAGTATGAAAATAAAAACGTCTGACCGGTTCAGACTTAAGAGGCATTAAGTGGTTTTTTTCAAAAAACAAACAAGCCCTTAGAGTCTTGGTGCATGAATATATTATTTCAATCGGCTAATAACTTCAAATCAGCTAACTTTGTAGTCTTGCTGTGTATTTCAGACAGTTGATCAACAGTACTGCATCGATGACCTTTTGTCATCATATTGGCTAGTCTTTGATTTTGTCAACGGCTTTATGTTTGTACCATGAGACCGATATTTAAAGAAACCAATAACTACTAAGTGATGATATGATAGTAGGATATATCAGAGGGTCATCACCAAATCCATAGATGACCCAACAACTAGTCTAACTATCGAGCATTTACCAAATTCAAATGGCTTTGGTAGTTTATTACATCCACAGATATATTTAAGAACAATGTTATTGTCTATAAATATCTGATATTTTCAGTAGTTGTGGTTGATTCGGGTTAATGGCAGACTTATGAAGGACTCGTGGTGTATTGTGATGAAATTGCGAGTTCACGAACCCTTAATCCAACGTAAAAATACAATCACTCGACATAAATTCTAAACCCATTGAGGTTTGTGGAAAAAGATGAAAAAAAAGTGGAAAAAAAAAGTATAAAAAGAATTATTAAGCATAGTTTTCCTAAAGTTAATCATAGAAGCATATTTTTTTATAACAAAAAGCATAAAAAATTCAAAATTTTTTTAAAAAATATTATTTTATCTATACTATATTATAAAACATTTGATAAAAACTCTTAAAAACCATCTTTTATTCATAAAATACTGTTTATTGATGCATATTACTTAAAATTCAAGATTACAGATAGATTGTGCATGAATATAACTTATTAAAACTCTATGTTTGAATTTGTGTAACCAACTGTAGATAGACATAATTAAATACGGGATAAACATCTCATTTTAATATAAAAATCTAAAATTTAATCAGGATAAGCATAAAGTTCAAACATAATACTTAATCATTATTTTTCAAAAAAAAAAATAGATTCTTAACCAAAAATATAAAACTTCGTTATTAAATTTAAATTAAATTATAATAAAAAATTGAATTAAAGAAATTAAAAAAAACGATAACTTTTATGTAATTAATTTGATACTAATATCAATATATTTTATTTAAATTTATGTTTTATTCAAAAATAAAAACATTGTCGTTTTCTTAAAATCACATAAAATTGTAGTATTACATAGATAGAAACAAAGAATGAAATGAAACATTAAAATCAGAATACATTTCATTGCATTGCGCGAACATCCTACTAGCGTAAATAAATAAACCCGATATGAAATTATCAACATTTAAATAAATATCATGTTTGACTTTCAGAAAATTCCATAAAAACAATATTTTTTAAACAAGTTTATTTTTTTATTATATAAATATTTATAAAATATAACGTAACATATTAATCGGTATATATATATATATATATATATATATATAAACTCTTAAAAAATCATTTTTTATGCATGAAATACTGTTTATTGATGCATATTACTTAAAATTCATGATTACAAGTAAAAATTATACGTAAGTACAAGTTATTAAAGCTTCATTTTTGAATTTGTGTAACTAATTATAGTATCATTTTGAATACAAAAAATCTAAAATATAATTAGAATAATCATTAGTTATAAAAAAATACCAAATTATTATCTTTATAAAAATTATACAATCAAACGATAAATAAATTAATTCGTTATTAAATTTAAATTAAACTATAAACAAAACATTAAATTAAAAAAATTACAGAAAAAACCAGAACTTTAAATAGTAAATTCGATACTAATATAAATGGATTTCCCCCCAATTTTTATGATATATTTAAATTTATATTTTATTTAAAAATAAAAACATTATTGTTTTCTCAAAATCACTAAAAATCATATTATATTGACATAGATAAATGATAAAATAAAACATTAAAATTAAGATATATCTCGTTATATTATGCGGCACCATTCTAGTTACTCAATTATATATTTTACACAAATATATGGAACCTCGCCCAATTAAGAATCGGGCCGGGTCAAACCCAGGTTCCTATTAAGACCCATTCGATGGGTTCGAGGAAGTGGAAACCACTGCAATTGCACGCTTTCCACACCCTCATCTCTCCCAAATCAAAAACACTTCAAAAATATTCCCAATTTCTACCTCAATATTCTCTCTCTACATGCATGCTTCATTGTACATAAACATTTGCTTCTCTGCTTAATTCACCTCATAGAATTTGTATATTTCAGTTTGATTTCTTGAATTTGGTCAAGAATTGAAGCTTCATGTTCGAAAACTGGTAAGGAATTTACACAGCTCTGCTTCAGTTTCAATGCATTTTAGAGGTTTTTGATGTTAATTGTTTGGAATTGTTGTTGAGTTTATTTGAAGCTGATTTCTTACTAGTGTTGCTAATCTTGTGAGATTTTTAGGGTTTCTAGTTCTAGATTGACTTCGTAGTTGATTTAGGGTGCATTTTTGCGATATGCGGTATCATTTAGGTTTGGTGTCTGTTCATTTTTTCTGAATAGTTGGAAAATTTTGAGAATTTCTATGATATTTGCCTTAATTTTGTAAGATGTAAATCAGGCATTGAAGGAAGAGTTCGATTTGGGGATCACGAAACTAGAAATGATTTGGTTATTGGAAATAACTTAGATTAGTTGCCTAATTAGATTAAACATCTACATTAAGTGTAAAGCTAAAGACTACTTCACTAGGAGTTCAAAAGTGTTGTCCGATGGATTCGATTGCCAATTTATGGCATTGTACTTCATTGGTTCTGAGAAAAAAGGATAAATTGACTTTCACATTTTCTAAGAGATCAGAAACTCCTAAAAGGGAATTTTTTAGAGGAAGGGGTTGTTTGGTTGGTTTTCATGTATGGATAAAACTGTCTGTGTGGATTAATCTGTCTGTATAGATTGTGAAGGTTTTTGTTGAGAGAGTTTATTCATAGATGTAAGGAGTGTTTTTTTATTAGGAAGGCGGGTTTAGAAAAAATATTGGATTTTTGCATAAAGCTCTCCCCTAGAAGCTTACTGAATAAGCGATTTTCTTTATCATCAAGTCACTACCAAACAGTCATGTATAACTAACCGAATAAGCATCGAGTCTCATTAAGCTCATTAAGCTGCTAACAAACATGCATTAAAAGAGTTATAGGAATATGGAAGAAACGATTTTTAACTTCAAGGCTGACATCGAATCGGTTGATCATCTTTGATTAGTTCAAACAGAACTTTGCTGGAATGTTATTTAGAGTTCATTTAGTAGGAATTTCATGTTGTTAGAATTCCATATTGGTTAGACCTATACCATTTCTCCACAATGTATGTTGGAAGTTGGAACCTTCCTTCTCTCTAGGGGCGGACCTACTTAAGAGCATACGGTGGCACGGGCTAACGCTTCATGGATCCATCATGTAATGGAAAAAATTACGTTCCTAAAAGGTGCTACTGTATTGTTTTGTTGAGTGCCCTTATATTCCTTGAAACTACAATAAAGACACAAGTTTCTCTTTGGAGAGTTGGTTTCCTTGGTCTTTCCCCTCTTCCAGGTGCGGATTTGACTCCTTTGTGTACCTAATTTTTCAGTTTTTAGCTTTTAATTTCGAGTTTAATTATGATTTTGATAAAAGTTGGGATAAAAGACTCGAACACAAGACCTCACGTACGCAAGACAGTGAAACAACCAACAGGCTAATGATGATTTTGGGAAATTATCCATAGGTTAGTTTCTTATAGTCAAATGGTGCCACCACAAATTTCTAGATCCGCCTCTACATCTCTTGGATTTTTTGGAGTGTAATTTAATGAGGTTCCACATATTCACGTGGTATAGAGCCAAGGTCTACATCAAGTAGACCATTTATCCTCAAAATGTGTTAGAACCTTCTTTCTCTCCTCAAACGTATCCTTTGGAGAGCAATTTAATGGAATTCCACATATTCTCACACATGTGATTAGGGTTCTAACGATTGCGAATTTAGAGTAATTGAGCTTTTTACAACTAATTTTATTTATATCCCTCCGTTACTCAGGTGTTTCAATCTTAAATAGTTCTTGTGAAATGATCAATGTTCTATTCCCCAAGATTAATTGAATGATGGTTTGAGTGAATAAAAGAGTCGTCTTTTTTATTCTGTGAAACAATCGACCTTATATGAGATCACTTGGGTTGTCATTTGTATTGTAACTTGTAAGTTGTATAAAATCCTTGTCTATATGAATTTAAAAAGCAATATGTTTGACCTTAAGAGTGCGTTTGGTATGCCGATAGGACAGGACTGGACGGGTGAGAGTGACTGAGTGAGGTAGGAGGTGAAAGAATTGTGAAATGTTTCAGGGTTTTAATTTGAAATGAGCAGTTTAGTAATTTATCAATCTTGTCCAATCTCCCTGATTTTTGTTCCACCTATTTTGGTGGGACCTGAAAAAGCATTTTTGTCTCACTTAGGTCCTGTCCTGTCCCAGTATAATATCACATCAGACACGGGACAACAAGTTTTTGAACTGTCCTGTCTTGTCCCACATACCAAACATACCCTAAAGGCTTCATTGTATTTCGTTCTTCAGTATCCATTCTTCTGGACTTCCGTTTCTTTACTGCATTTTACCCTCATCTTTTTGTTTTTTACTCCATCGTTGATCATCTCCAAGAAATTTATAACATTAAACTTCAATGCAGGAAAAGATAGTGATAGCCATTTCTTGTTGGTTTACTCAGTTATGCTCTTCGATTCTTTTAGAAGCCTTGTTGAGTATTTCCCGATATAAAAACACCATAAAAAACCCGACTGTCATGTCTTACAATAAAGTAGAAGCTCTTCGAGAAAAATCCGATGCTGAAAAGTTGATTCTTTCTAACGATTACGCTGCTGCTAGAACGAAACTAAAGAAGGCCCAGCAGCTTTTTCCAGCACTTGATCATATTGCTCCAATGCTTACCGTTTGCGAGATTTTGTCGGCCTCAACAAACATAATCCCGGGTTACGACACTGATTACTACTGGGTTCTTCAGCTTATGCCTTCTTCCACCATCGCTGATATAAATCGCCAGTATCAAAAACTCGTCTCTTTGCTACAACCCATCAAATACAAGTTCCCGGCTACCGAATTGGCTCTTAAGCTTTTACAGGAGGCGTTTTCCATACTTTCTGACAAGAAAAAGCGTGTGACATTTGATATAAAGCGTGGCACGAGTTGGGTGAATTACGAATCTTTTGAAACTAATTCCGAGAGAAATAGGGCCGATAGCAATTGTGATAAAGTTCAGGTCAATAACATTAGCTTACAAGAATCGGGTTCTTCCTCTTCTGATGTAATTTCCGAAGGGCTTAAAGGTCAAGAAACGGATATTAACTCGCCATCGGGTGCACAAAAGGGTGTTCATAAAAGGGTTCAGCAGGATTTTTATGGTTTCGATAGTTGCAGGACAGATGAGTGTTTTGAGTTACGGGATATCTGGGCGGTTCATTGTCATTTAACCGAGCCTTTTATTGGGGGTAGATACGCTCAGATTTTTAAGAAATCGGGAAGCGACGTTGAAGTTATATGGTTAAAACCCATCCCTGTTACTGAAGGCGAACGGAGATGGTTTGATGCAGATTTGCCCGTTGCTTGTGGATCGTTTTGTTTAGATACAGAAACAAGCGGAATGATCGGGTTGAAAGGGGTATTTTCGTACAAATGCTCGTGGGATTCCGGAATCACGGAGGAGTTATTCGAGATTTACCCAAAAAGAGGCGAAATCTGGGCGATCTATCAAGATTTTGACCTTGAAGAATGGTCGTACAATCCCGATATCGTCAAAGGGTGTTCTTTTAAGCTAGTTGAAATCATCTCCGATTATTCTATATATACGGGTGTTGAGTGTGGTCCGTTGGTCAAAGTCCATGGATTTAAAAGCGTTTATGAGAGACAAACCGAAGGTGAAACCATCACGATTCATATCGGTCCACGAGACCTGTATATGCTGGCACACAATGTGCCAGCATATAGATTCACTGGCGGAGAGATCGATGGGGTTCATGATCACATGTTTGAGCTCGACCAGTTGGCTTTCAGAAACCCAGATCAAGAAACCGACAATCGAACCATGGCTCAAGAGAAAGATCCCGACCTTTTGGTTCCTACACCGAACCTGAACCCAAACCCAGAGACCACGGTTTTGGGATCTAATTGGTCTGCAAACGACTTTACAACCGGCCAGATTTGGGCTGCATACTCCGGGAAAGACTCGATGCCTCGCCAATACGTTCTCATCAACAGTGTGATCTCGATCTCACCAACTCGACTATCTGCAACTTTTTTAGAACCCGAACCCGTTTCCTACCATGAAACCATCTGGAAAAACCGAAACTTGCCAATCGTATGTGGGAATTTCCGACCAAAAGAATCTATGGTCAATCTTGACGTAAGTCAACTCTCTCATCCCGTAACCTGCTTCAAAAGCACGACCACTTCCGTCTACAAGATCTTTCCGACAAAAGGCGAGATCTGGGCGGTGTACAAAAACTGGAAATCGGGATGGAGTCATCTCAACTACGATAACTACAAGTGTTGGGTGGTCGAGATCTTGTCAGATTTTTCCGACGGAGAGAAGATGATGGCGGTTCGGTTGGTGGAAGTGAAGGGTTGTCTGACGTTTTTCCAGCGGTTGCAAGGCGAAGATGGGTTCGAAATGGTTCGTGGGTTTTCGAGAAGGGAAATGTCGTGTTTTTCGCACCAAATTCCGGCATTCCGAGTGCCCGGAATCGGAGGGCACGGGATTCCGGAAAGTTCTTGGCATTTGGAACCAGTTGCTTTACCACCAAACAGTGGAAAGTGATGATCAACAAGAAGGGGAATTGTAGGGTTCAACTTCAAAGCAATTGTTTTAAAATTATGGTGGAATTGAACCCATGAATATTTATCAAAGGATTTGTACATAATGAGGAAAAATAAACAAATTTTTTTTTTTTCAAACTGTGGATTTTTGGACCAATTTGTACGCATCTCAGTTAAAACCTGATTATGACAGGTCAGTACTCTAAAATGTGTAACTGATATAAAAACTGATTATGAAGGATAGAAGGATCGAGTTTTTTAATTGGGAGAGACCGGTTTGGAAGAAACTTAGCTTTCTACATAAAGTTTCCCCCTAGAAGCAGAATAAGTCACTTTCTATATCATTAAGCCACTATCAAACAATCATGTATAATTGATCGAATAAGCTGTGAATCCCATTAAGCTCATTAAACAGCTAAAAAACATACATTGAATGGAAAACAAACCAAGAGTCTCTTCTCCCTTAGCTTATCAGGTCAATATCTCTGTTAAAATCATGGTCGACCAGAACTTACAGTTCTGACTGGGTAAGATGACCGCATTAACAAAGTGTAATACCTAATGACAACAAGAACTTACAGTTCAAAAAGACTAGAACTTTATGATAACTTCTAAAACCAAATGGTTCGAAGAACATTGAACCCGAAATCGGAAGTTCGTTATCGAAATCCTCCGTTCGCCATCGCTCTCATTCACAACTTATCTGCAATTTTCGTTAAGGCGTCTGAAATCTTGTTAAGAGCAGATACCAAGCTGTCGTTGTAGTCTTTCCTCTGATCCCGATCTAGCTGACAATTTGTATTCTCTGCTTCGAGCCGTGCATTCAACACGTTGGCATTCTTTTCAAGAACGTCAATTAATCGAGCATCAAAGTTTCTGTCGTTACATTCGTCTGTCGATACTCGTCTTCGTTTACTTCCTTCTTGGGACATGGTCTCTTTCCATGATACCGAATTCGTCTGTTGTTCCCTTACAGCGCCTGATAGATTATAACGAAACGTTGGAGAACGTTAATCCTCATGTTCAATGGCTTAAGAAATTCTATGAGCTTATGGCTGAATTAGATATGAAGTGATTAAGACATTGAAGCTTGTAACGGTGTCTTTGGTACGTGAGACAGACGTGACGGAACAAAAACTTGTTGTCTCATGTTTGGTGCTACAATTAGATCGAGACCGGACAAGACTTTTGTTTGCAGCTTAATGAAACTCAAAGCTTATTCTGTCAGCTATACATAACTGTTTGGTAGTGACTTAATGCAGTAAGCTGGGAGCTTTATTGTTAATATACCTTGGGAGGAATCCTGGTGAAATGGTTGGTATCTCTTCTCTGTTATTCAAAGCCAAATGTTAGCTTTATGAACTTGTAAATGGAAGGTAAAATGTATACAGATCTTAAAATAATTTAACAGTTTTTTCAAAATGGAGAAGCAAAAGTCAGAAGCTCTAAAAAATTCATTCAAATCCACCAGTTTCTTTATTTTGAATATTCAAACGTAAAATATTCAATACAACAAAATTGGATTTATAGGACATCCCCAATCTCTAAGTGTCCCAATAGACCGTTTTATAGGACTTAATTTATAGGACCAAAATATAAAGCGTCTTATCTAAATGTGTTGTAATAAGTTTATACGACACTTTTGAGCGTCTTAACAAGTTTTTAAAGATATTTTTAATACAAAGTGTCACATTAGTAACTTTATAGGACACTTTTGAGAAAGTGCCCTATAAACTCAATTTTTTTAGGACACTTGTTTTTATAAGACATTTTTTCAAATAGTGCCTTATAAAGTTGATAATGAGACGCTTTATATTAAAAGTGTCCTAAAAAAACTTATTACGACATCAAAAAACGTCATATAAACTTAATACAACACCATTAGATATGACACTTTATTTTTTTGGTCCTATAAACTAAGTCTTATAAAGAGGTCTATTAGGACGCTTATAATTTGGGAGTGTCCTATAAACCCGATTTTGTTGTAGTGATTTCTCTCTCACTTTCTTCATTTTGAAGTTGTTGAAGCAAAAATAAGGTCTCGTTTGGTTTGAAGGAATGAAATGGATTTGGGGGATTTGCATTTCAAATTCATTTCAATCCCATGTTTGGTTTGTTGGATTGTCCGGATTTGAAATCCTTAGGGAATGCTCGGGATTTGAAATCCATTTCGTAGGATTGTATGCAATAAGGTTTTAAAAAAATGTTAAAAACATTTGTTTTGTAATAATCGATTAATAAAAATGTAATTTAATTATTTTTATAATTATTTATTATTTTTTCTATAAATTATTTATAAATAATGAAATCCAATTTCATTCCAAATACTACAAACCAAACGTCCCAATGATTTCAAATCCATTTTAATTTAAATCCCTAAAAAACAATCCTGCAAACCAAACGGACCTTAGGTAAATAACCTCATGAACGCGAATAAGACCATAGAAAGTCACCTGAAATCGGCATCGGATCCGGGATCTTCTTCGTTGGAATATCGTCCTTTTCTCGACCTTCATCATTCGCTTCTTCATCCTCCATTTTATCCGAATCCGGAAAAAGACCGTCGGTCGACGTGGCACGTCGACCGCTATCGAAAACCACGTCGGTATCCTCGTCTTCATCGTCTTCTCCCGCCACCATCGTCACCACATTTTCGTCTTTTGCGTCCGCACTCACCGTCACCAACGCCAGCTTATATGCCGCCTTAGTGAACGCCTTCCCGTCCAAAACATCAAACACCTCCCTATCGAAAAAACCCGGCAACTTGTTCTCTTTCCGCGAATCGTTCCTCATCACCCAATACGAATCGGACTCTTGTTTTACCTCGGATTCCCACGCTTTTATCTTCTTGAAATCACCCACCATGTTGCTCCATCTTTTCCGACACTGAACCGGCCCTCGGTTCACCGCATGCTGTTTACAATACGACGCAACCGAATCCCACTTCGGTTCGAGCTGGTCCGAACCGAATACCGAACTTGACCGCCTTCCCCTACGCCCCCTATTCTCCGCAACTTTCTTCCCTTCTATAAGCGTAAGCGTTTCTTGTCTAGTCCAACGCGGGTGTCGTGGCGATTTGCTCTTATCGTCCACCACTTCCACCGCCGCCACCGCCTCCGCTGCCACCACCGTTACCGGTGTTTCCTGATCCTCAACACCCACCTGGATTTCCGCACTACCACCATTATCACACACTTCATCTGTTTCTGATGCCATAAAACCTCAAAACTATGGGATTCTTGGCCTAATTTGTGTAGGTTCTTTTATATATATATACACACACACAGAGAAAAACACACACACACACACATATATATATATATATATATATATATATATATATAATTAAAGGATTTGAGCTTATAATATAATACCCAAATAAGGGCATTGGTTTCTTTAATTTTGGCATTAAATTAAATGGGGGTTTAATTTGCATATATAGACACTTAATTAAGCACTAATTATATGTCTTAAAGGCATATATTACCTTCATATGGGTAACACTTGATTCTTCCATATCTCATTTTCCTCCTTTGTTGCCTTATATTTTAGGGATATAAAGATTTGTTTTTTAGTAGAGAAGCTGATTTGATTCTTGGTCAAATATCTAAACTTGTCTTAATGAATAAGTCATTTGGGGTTTTTGTCTTAATGGTTTCAGTATTTTTATTAGATTTTTTAAAATGGAGATTTTGAGGACTTTTTTATTTTGACAGATTCTTTAAAATCTTCTCTAAAATTAAGAAATTAGGAGAGAGAAGTGATATTCTTGGATTACTGATAATTCCCTAAAATAATTAGTTATGAGTGAATTGATATTTTATTATTATGAAATTTATTAAAATTTTTATTAATACAACTGATATTATAATCTTTTTTTGATTAACCTGGATATTCAACCTGTTATACGGGTTGACTAATCTCAGGGCGACCACCTGCTTTGCATATAGCCCGAAATCACCGCATTTGAACATTCTTGGCCACAAGGGGATTTTTATTCCTCCTTGAATTTGAACCTGAGATCCCCTGGTACTTTTGACATTTGGAGCCAAGCTCAACCAATCAGGCACCACCCTTGTAGTTTGATATTATAATCTCTAAAATAAAGAATCTGTTACAGTTAATTTAAATATTTTTAGAGATTTTGTTACAGATGCTTATCTGTAACAAATTTTCTAATTTGACTTTTAAATCAGAGAAAATCGAAGTTTAGAGAATTCTCTAAAATTTAATGTTATGAGAAGGAAATGATAATTCATAATTCCCACCAATAAGATTGAGTTATTATTATATACAGTTTTTTTTAAATATATTGGGATGATAAACTTACAAAATATTTTAATAATATAATTTATATTTAAATCTGTATATTAAAGAATCTGTTGAAGATGCTCTAAAAACATCCACAATCCATAAGTCATTCAATGACTTTTTATTTTTACCACATCATATTTTCACCAATTACATCTAACAAAAACTCATCTTTAAAACAACGCTGAAATAATTTGATGCAATAACCTGTTGTAAAACTCTAATAAGCTATTCCACCAAAGGGTATTTGGCCTAACAGTATCGTAACATTTGGCCTCATAGGAGGTCATGGGTTCAAACCTTATCAAAGGCGAGAAAAGTGTGTGAGTTTATTTGTTGCATTTGTTTTAAAAAAAAAAAGGTATTCCAATAACTTAGTAGAATAGTAAAAAAAAAAAAAAAACTTTACAATAACCTTCCATAAGAACTGCTCTTAAGATTTAACTTTTATCAGTACAACTGTCATACCATGTTATGTTATTTCTTCTACTGTATAAATACCAAACGCACCCTACAAGTTATAATTAAGTCAGGGTCCTATACAGGGATATTATTGTAATTACCATAAATATGTTAAAAGGAAACACTTCACCAATTTAAGGTGCTTTTTTAAGGTTTAAATCTCATATGAAACCAATTGATTACAAACATTAAATGCAATAAATATGGAAAAATTCATTTGAGTGCTAAAATGGTGTTTATATTGAATACTTTATTTGGGTCAATGATTTGTTGGTTCCTTTGGTGGCATGGGTTATTTCACAAAAATATTACCATAAAAATGGGGATGTTGTTGTAAAATGGAAACGTGACTAAAATAACCTTTAAAAATATCAAAATTACATTTTTAACCTTGAAGTTTAAAAATCTAACAAACTAGCTATCCGTTATCCTGGGAATTGGTCCCGACCCGTCGGGGGGGACGAGGATCACACTCCCCGCCCCACTCCGCCCCGTACCCGTATATATACGATAACTAATAAATTATATTATTTATTTCTATTAAACCGGTAAATGGTAATTTATATTTCAATATATTTTGGATATTACTATATGTGGTTTTGAATATTACTTAATATGTTTTGGTACAAGTGATGTTAATTTTTTTAGATTTTGTTTTCGATTTATTAATTATTATATGATGATGTATATTTTCTGTATTAAATTAAATTCCTTTGGATTTTAGATTTACTGAAAAAATATGAAAATTTAAATATGTGTAACGTCTCACGCATTTGGTTTTTTTTTTTTTTTACACAAATAGGGAAAAAAAAGTATTCGTTCCCCGTTGGAGACGGGGATGAAGATGTGATTAAATTCCCCGGTGGGGATGGGGACGGGGATGGGGATCGGGGTCCCCGCTCCATCACCATCCATAGCACCGTTTGATGCATACAGGATAACTGATGGTCATTTTGTTAGAATTTTTATTTTAGGGTTAAAAATGTAATTTTGATATTTTTAAGGGTTATTTCGATCAGATTCCCTTGTAAAATGCCTTGATTTCATAGCAAATACGGAATTAATATTACATTATTTAAATATTTAAATAATATGCTTCATCTCTCTCATAATTACTATTCAAGCTATAGTTTTTTTTTTCATGAAAAATATTATATATATATATATATATATATACACACACATCATTTACCTTATTGGATGAATATGTAAGATCGATAATCATATCTAATAAAAAGAGCTGATAAAAATAGAGGGTCTTATGCGATAAGTAAGGGTGTGTAGAAAATCAACTAATCCAATTAAAACCGACCTATCTAATTAGAACCGACCAACCATAATTGTATATCTGATTGTAATTGAATCAGATTAGATTGAAATTTTCGACATTCAATTTCGACCTGTCGGTTCTCGGGTGGCAATCCATAACTGACCAAGACTGAACGGAACCAAACCAACCGACATCTAATTAATCATATGATGACCATCCAGTTATCCATCCAACTATCATCCAAGTAATTTGTTTTCAAATTTGCTTAAATAGGAATTTGTTTTGTGTGAGGTTTTAAATTTTTGACTTCCCTTGTCTTGGTTTTAACACATATTAAAAGTGATTAATTAATTTGTATCATTGTTGAAGAATTGGATTGAATTAACACATTGAATAGATTTAATCCCATCAGATCATTCATTGGATATCCAATAGATTGAACGGAATCCATCCAATCCCCATTGGATTGAATTGGATCGGTTATCCAGTGTCAGCTGGATCGGATCGGTTGGCAAAATCCAACATCTAATTGATGATTGGATAGGTTCGGTTCTCCTCACATCCAATTGATGTCAACCAATGGACAGTCCTACCAGTAAGTGAATGTGATGTCTCTCATCCAATAAATACTTATCGGGTAAATTATTGCATACCATAACGTTTTGATGGTTAGAAAACTTAGTCGCTTGTTTATTAGGTTATGGAATATGATTTTTAGCGACATTTAATATTTAATTTATATTATAAAAAAATTTATAAACTTATCATTTTAATATATTTTTTAATTTTTTTTATATAAAATGAATATTGATTTAGGGGTTGTTTTGATCATTTATTATTAATTCATTCTGATTTCGATAAATATTCTGATAATCAAACATACAGATTTTTTTGAGTTTCATTTCAGTTCATACCAACTACACGTCTGTTTAAATTTCATTCTAAATTCAAAGTCAAATCCATCGAACAAATTTATACCTCTTAAAAATTCATATTTTTTTTGTTAATCTATACTATATTATAAAGTATTTGACGAAAACTCTTAAAAACCATTTTTTATGCATGAAGTAATGTATATTGATGCATATTACTTAAAATTCAAGATTACAAGTAAACTATGCGTAAGTATAACTTATTAAAGCTCTATGTTTGAATTCGCGTAACTAGTTACGGATAAACATAATCAATTAAAGGATAAACATCTCATTTTAAAATATAAAAAATTTAAAATATAATTAGGATAATTATCGAATTATAACAAAATAATTAATTATTATATTTGTTTGAAAACTATATTATTAAACTAGTTTAAATTACTTCATTATTAAACTTAAATTAAATTATAAAAAAAATTGAATTAAAAAATTATAATAAAAAAAGAATTTTAAATAGTTAATTTGATACTAATATCGATATTTTTTTTTGTCAAATTGTTACGATAATTTCAAATTTATATTTTATTCACAAATAAAACATATCGTTTTTTCAAAATCACATAAGATCATACTATAACATCAACTGAGATAAAAAATAAAATAAAATATTAAAATCAAAATTTATGTTACTGCATTGTGCAAATACCAATTTTATAATAATAATAAATTACGAACTCAAAATTATAATTCGAAAATAATAACAAAAATATGCAATTTTCGTGGGAGTATAAATAGTCCGAACGTGTCTTTTTTCCTTGCAATTTTTTGGCGCGAACAATCGGCTGTCCATCGTTGTCCTCCGGTGGGTTGTGTGTGTTCAAAATCTGAAAACCCTAAGATTTAGCAGAATCACACAAAGTAAAATCGAATGAATCCGATAACAATGGAAGGAGATTTCAACGGAAGCGATTACGAGAAAGAGGAAGATGACGAAGCCACTAATCATCTCAGAGACCGGTTCCGTCTTTCCACCATCTCCATCGCAGAATCCGAAGGTTTGTGTATTGCAGTATTTCTTCTAATTGATTCGAATTGCTTAAGATTCATGTTTTTGTTGTATACAGCTAAGCGAAGTAACATGGAGATTTCTCAACCTGTTATCGTCTGCATCTCCGATTTAGCTTTCAAGTATGCCGGTAAATCTTCCGATCTATCATTCTCTTCATCTCTATTGTGCACGTTTATTCACATGATCTCACCATTTATCTAAGCACCTTCTAACTGTAGGAAATTTGATAGTGTTGTTGAATGTTGATGAATAAATTTGGGGTTTTGCTGGTCTTTGGTGCATCATGATGTTGATTTTTGCACTTTTGCGTTTCTGAATATAGATACAATTAAACTATGTGAATCAAACGTCAGAATTGATGTGAAATCTAGCGTGTCTTTTGGAGGAGAAACTGCTATTCACAATAAAATGGACTTAAAATAGAAAAATACGTCCTAAGACCGTAACAAACATATGAATTTGAGTCTGAGTTCATGCTAGATTTAATCTAACTATCAAAGTTAGTGGAAACCATTTTTTCAAAACATGGGAAGTAATCTTAAACCCATGGTTTTTCGTCTGGGAGTAGCGTGAGAAATTAGCATTTCATACCATTGTGTTTGGTACTTTGTTTGAACAACCCACAAACTTGCAAAACACCAAAAGAAGACATTATGGTTGATAGAAAATTGCAATAAAAGTGCTGTAATTGGCTCATTTTTGCTAGTGTGTTGATTGTGTACAAATAGTGTGTCAAGCACAAAGGTTCATAAAATTTAGCATGCCTTAACTTTCGGGGCATCATTGATCATTGGTTGGTTGAAGCAAACCACCCAAATTGTCCTCTTAAGGTGACTTAATTGCCTCCCTTTTTGTTGTTGTAATGTTTGAAATCTCAAGGAAATAAATTTTCATTTACATTTCCAATTCAAGAACATGAACTATGAAATAATGAAACATGGGGAAACCATTATAAACGTCCAGATTATCAATTGATGATCATAATTTTCTACAACATCTGGTTATCAGGTTACTTATTTCTGTGGCAATAACTAAATCAAAGTTGATCTACTCTTTTACTCTGTAAATTGATGCCCGTCAATAATGTTGTTGGATATTATTGATCTCGAATGTTTTTCACCTTTTTGTGATTTCAACTTTCCTCGATATTGAGTATTACGTGTTGGAAGAAGTACACTCCATGACCGTTACAGAAAATTTTGTGTCATATATCCCTGAACTAGATTTTTATACACCAAATTTTCTGGTCAGCTCGGGACCTATGTGCTATGGCTATGAAATCTTAAGCAGAAAATATGTCAACCAGGTAAACAAGAAATTATAAACAGAGAGTTTTACCCTGGCATGACTTTCATTTGGCTCTATGTGATATTGTGCTGTAGCCTGTAGGACCAGCTTCATGTTTATAGATTGCTGGTAAACATGTTTACAAGTAAAGTTTTTAAAGATGAAAAGCTCATTAAAACCTTGTTCTGGTAACTCTGTGATCAAGACAGTTGGCCTTGAATGACTCTTAAGAAATCTTGGACCTGTTGAGTTCTTGGATTAATATGTCAATGTCACCATTTTTATCTTTTACCACTTGACACTACTACAAAAAGGGGTATTTGTCCCTCTTGATTTTGTACTTAAAACAAGGAAACCATGTAAAAAGTGACTTTTTGCAAAACCTTTTTACACGGTTCCTTACACTAAACCGTGCTAGTTTTTTACACGATTTTCTTTAAAATACCATGTAAAAAAGTTATGACTTACCTTTTTAACGGGGTTTTTTATACAAAACATTGTAAAATGGTCAATTATTTCATACTACATTAACTACGGTTTGCTTTTTCACATGGTTTTTCTCTAGCGAACGTGTAAGACAGTTCACCATATAATGTTGACGTGCCGTCCAAACAACCCGTATAAAGAAGGTATTTTAACCGTGTAAAATGGACCATTATGTACTAGTGTGATGACCGAGTGTTTCTATAATCACAGAGCAGTTGGCGGAGGATCTTGAGCTGTTTGCACATCATGCCAGTCGAAAGTCTGTCAATATGAACGATGTCATTCTTTCTGGTATGTCTATTAAACCCTCTGAATTACTTTGTGTGTCACAAAATAAGAATCCATATTTATATGTTAATTTATCCGGAAATAAGTATCCACTTTCAAAAGCAAGTGCACAATTTCTAATTCTACCCTTGATTATCTGATGGATAAATTCATTACTCACTCCATCTGTTTTTTAGAGAAACTGTGATTTAGTTAATTAAAAAGTGTAATAATTACACATATCTAAAGTTATATGTTTTTTTTTTATCATGGACATTTATTTTGGGGTAGAGGGAGTATTTGGTTGGATGGCTATCAAACCCTTTAAAGCCTTTGATAAATTTTGACTCATTACCCCAAAATAAGTATTCATATTTCGATTTTAGTTTGTCTCAAAATAAGTGTGCATTTTCAAAAGTAAGAGGCCGTTTACTAAATGCTTACTTGGTAAGTGCTTACCAAATAAATTTTCTTATCGGATGAACATGACAAGGGCCAAGAATCTTACTGGGTAAGAGCGATGAGAAGGATGGAGAGTCTTACCTGGTAAGTGAAAATTACGACTCTTACCCAGGTTAAGCGCTTACCCGGTAAATTGTTGCATTCAATACGTTTTGATGTACTAAAATCTTACTCATCAAAATAAATTATAGTGTTGACTCATGTAGGTAAACACTTACCGGGTAAGCATTTGGGTAAACAGCCCCTAAGGCATAATTTGATTAGTCTAATTCTACCCTTGATTACAAGATGGAAAAATTCATTGCTCACTCTATTATTAAGGGTAAAATTGTCATTTAATTAATTGAAAATTTTAATAATTACATATTTCTAAAACTGTAAATATTTTTTTGTCGTGGACATATATTTTGGTGTTGAGGGAGTATTTGACTGAATGCCTATCAAACCCTCTAAAGCCTTCGATAAATTTATGCTTTGTGTCCCAAAATAAGGATCCGTATTTCTATTTTAGCTTGTTCCAAAAATAAGTGTCTAGTTTTAAAAGTAAGGCATAATATCTAATTCTACCTTGATTATGAGATGGTGACATTCATTACTCCCTCTATTATTAATGGTAAAATTGTCATTTAATTAATTAAAAAATTTAATAATTACAAATTTCTAAAATTGTATGCATTTTTTATCAGTGGACATTTATTTTGGTGCAGAAGGAGTATTTGATTGGATGCCTATCAAACCCTCTAAAGCCTTCGATAAATTTATACCTTGTGTCCCAAAATAAGAATCCATATTTCTATTTTTGCTTGTTCCATAAATAAGTATCCATATTCAAAAGTAAAGACATAATTTCTAATTCTACCCTTGATTGCGAGAAGGAAAAATTCATTACCTTCCGTGTCATCAGGGGTAAAATTGTCATTTACTAAAAATAATTCAAAATTACATATTTACAAAACTGTATGTCCATTTTCATTTTGGACATCTATTTACAATTTGGTTTGCAGCACATCGAAACAAACATTTGGCAGATTCATTGAGGTCGTTTTCATACGATCTGATGAAAGGAAAAGAGCCCCCGTCGGAAAGAAAGAGAAAGAAGAGTTCGAACAAGGAAGACAAAACTCTCCACATCGATTCATAACTCCTATAGATTCTTGAATATTTGGTTAGTCAATAGTAGTTTCCTTCAATTCATCTTGTGCTTAACTCATGAAGTTAACTACCATCACTTTCTTGTTTCTATGTCAAAATGATGCCTCTTTAAATTGCTCTAGGGGGGGCGAGGGCGAGGGCGAGGGCGAGGGCGGGCATGGTAGGCGATTGTTGTATTTGAATTATAACAGACAAATGTCTTAACGTATTTGATTGATTTATTATACTACGTAAGCAAAATAACATGATACAATATTTGTGCAAAAAGGGTTTGTAAGGGGCGACATTACCCCAAGAGTATAAATGTGAGAGGCAAATCAGGTATAGAACAACCTGCTAGTTGATTGGTTTAAGAGCCCGGTACCTACAAGGAGCTCAATCGCTGAAGGAATTATAATTTTCACATTGCGCTATCAGATTCGAACCGTCGTTTATTTGTGCCACATTTTAAGATTTAGAAATAATTAAATCTCATAATGCTAAGGAGCCGTTTACCCAATTGCTTATTCGGTAAACGCTTACCGATAGGAGTCAACATTATGATTTATTTTGATGCACAAGATTTTAGTACATCAAAACATATCGAACGTAACAATTTATTGGGTAAACGTTTACCTGGGTAAGAGTCTGCATCCTCACCAACCGGGTCCACAATTGCGATGACCAGATCCGCAATAGTGACAATCAGGTCTACAATTTGATTTTTTTTTGTTTTTTTAGCTACGTCCGCAATGAAAATAATTATTAATAATTAAATTAGATTTTTATAAACGTTACTTATCTGTACTATATTATAAAACATTTGATAAAAACTATTAAAAATAATTTTTTATGCATGGGGTACTGATTAATAATGTATATTACTTAAAATTTAAGATGACAAATAAATTGTGTGTAAGTACAACTTATTAAAGCTTCAGTTTTGAACTCGTATAACTAACCTCAGATAAACATCTCATTTTAAATATAAAAACTCTAAGATATAATTAGAATAATCATTGAGTTTTAACAAGATCATTATCATTATAAAAATTATATTGTTAAGCAAAAAATAAATTAATTTGCTATTAGATCTAAATTAAATTATAATAAAAAATTTGAATTAAATAATTTGTAAAAAAAACTTTTAAATAGTTAATTTGATACTAATATCGACATATTTTTTTCAAGTTTTTATGATATCTTCAAATTTATTTTTATTTAAAAGTAAAAACATTATCTTTCTTAAAACCACATAAACTATGTTATATCAATAGAGATAAAAAAAACATTTAAAATAAAGATACATCTCACTGCATTACACGAGTACCCTTTTGGTTATATTATTATCCATTTTTTAGAAACTATAAGATAACATACTAAAAAAGACAACCAAGATTCAATTATATGACTTGTAAGATGCATAAACTACCTTTTAATATAAACAAAATAAAGAAAGATTCAAGTGATATTATTAGGGGTGTTATTTGATCGATTAAAACCGATTCAAGTTAATTAATTTTTGATATTTTTGGAACTGATCGATTATCAAACCAGATAAAATTCGGTTTTGGGTTATTTCATTTTCAGGTTATTTTATCTGATTACTGGTAAAACTAAATAATGATTCATATATTTTTTTTTCATATGACACTTGCCTCAGTAGTTTTTTCAAATTTAATGATTGTTCAATAACTGATTTATATTCAATATGATTGAATAGGGCATTTTATTCGGTTAATCAAGATTCTACATTGATTCTACATTGATTGGATAGAGGAATAAATGTTGATTTATAAGGGACTAGATACATTATAATAGACGCGTTTTAAAATAGTGAGTCAGATGTGTATAAATGAGACAATAACTGATATGATTAGCACTGGATGACCTCCTAAGAGGGGTGGACTGTAAGATCAAACATCGGTTGTGGGAATAAATGTTGCGTTATAAGAGACATGATACATTCGCTAGTAGATGTATGGGGAATATTTAACCCGAGTCTCATTTGATTCAAATTGATTATTCGGTTTCAGTTATTTTATGATACTCCTAAATACCACCAATTTAACGTTAATTAACCATGAAGAAAAACAATTGTCAAAGACCTTCCAGCCTAGTGGTAAAGGCTTGGGCATGACATAGTCATGAACCCAAGTTCGAGCCCTGGGAGGGGAGTGTTGGCGACATTTAA